AATAAATAAATAAAATCTTAAAAAAAAAAAAAAAGAAACCTATGATTCTGGGCAAATTAATTACCTGTCTATATCTCAGTCTCCTCATCTATGCAATCATTATACCTAAGGGATACATAATTGTGCCAGAATCAAAGGACTGTTTTGAATACTAAGTTGTACAATATAAGTATTCAACATGCTATCTGGCAAATAGGAAGTTCTTACTCAATGTCACTCATTATGATTTTGACAAATATTTACTTACTTAACAATATTTATTGAGTAACTACTTGCTCTGTTATAGGGACAAAATGATGAGGAAAATAGATATACTCTGTCCCCTGGGCAATTTTTGTTAGAGACAAACAATAAAAACAACATAGATATTAATATACGGTTACAGGTTACAAGGAGAAATTGAAGAAAAAGTAGAGAGCAGTTACTCTAAGAACTTAAAATAAGCATATGTAATAAATTAAAAAAAATTTTTTTTAAAGATTTTATTTATTTATTTGTCAGAGAGAGAGAGAGAGAGCACAGGCAGACAGAGTGGTAGAGGGAGAAGCAGGCTCCCTGTGGAGCAAGGAGCCCGACGCGGGACTCGATCCCAGGACCCTGGGATCATGACCTGAGCCGAAGGCAGCTGGTTAACCAACTGAGCCACCCAGGCGTCCCAATAAATTTAAAAATTTTTTTAAATTAATTTGCCTAGGGGATCAATGAATGCCTCTTTGAGAAAGGTACAAAGCTCTTACTCAAGACATCTCAATAATAAATAAGAATGAACTCAGAAAAGGGTAGGTTGAGGGAAGGAGACTATACAAGGGTACAAATTAAGTTTGTGAGGCCCAAAGGTAGAGGAAAATGTTAAGGGAGGACACTGAGTCTGGAAGACAGAGGGTGTTGGGGAGGTTGGTGAGTGAAAGACCTAGATAATAGACAAAAGACAAATCAACCAGGACCTACCTGTGCACAATATGGATTGTGGTCAGACAGGGGTGGAAATGCTTTTTTTTTTTTTTTTAAAGGAAAAAAAGAAAAGGAGAGCCAGGGATGTAGTAAAGTATTTCAGATTTTTATATTATAATTTTCATTCACTCCACTATGGAGACTGGATTAGAGGTGGCAAAATTAATGAGGGAAAATGATGCAGATAGCAGTGATAGAAGTTGAGTTGAAAGGGGACATATCATAGAATTATGTACAGACAATGGAGAGATGGAAGGATACTGGACAGATAGAGGAGGGAATTTTTTTTTTAAGATTTATTTTATTTATTTAAGAGACTGACAGAGTGGGGGAAGGGCAGACAGAGATGGAGAGAGAAAAAAATCCCCACTAACTCTCTGCTGATCCTGGAGCCCAACACGGGGCTCAATCCCAGGATCCTGACATCATGACCTGGGTGAAAATCAAGCATTAGATGCTTAACCCACTGGACCAACCAGGCACTCCGAGGAGGGAAATTTTTTAAATGAAAGTATCAGGGTTTGACGGAATATTGAAAACGATGGGGAAAAGGATGTTGACAAATATGATCCTGGATTTTTGGCTTGCACAACCTAATGCTTGGAGAGCTATTCTCTGAGATAAAGAAGGAAACTGAACATGAGAGAGGGGGAGATTATGAGCTCAGTTTTGTACATGTTGTATTTATATTGTGTCTGCAATATCCACACAATATATTGTGTCAAGCAGAGAGGTGGGTGTGTGAGACCAGAGGTTGAGGGAGGGGAGGGCAGGAGGGGTGGTCCAGATTTTGAGATGCAAATTTAGAAATACAGTTTATGGACAGCAACTGAAACCATGGAATTTGATGACTGCATTGTGTGAAAACTAAGAAAACTAACCAAAAAAATGAACAGTTGACCATGGCATCTCCTCTTCCATTCACCTTACTACAAACTGCAAGATATATAAATATTTCTCTCTGGTTCTTAGTTCATTACCTATAGAATTTTGGATAAAAATATCCATACCACAAATGCATGATAATCTGAATAGCTAGGAAATTACACACTTTCCAACAAAAGTTCAGAACTAAGTAGAGAAAATAAATGACTTAATAACATAGGTCAGGAGCCTATTACTATACGTTAGAATTCTTAACAGTATAATGGTCAAGGTATTAGAATACTGAGATCTGTTTACATATGCCTAGTAGGGTGGGATAAGATAAAGACTGGGTTTAGGCAATCAATTAGTTTACCAGTGTCTTCTTGCTACCTTTATGCTTAAACTCCATTAGAGTTTGACCTTTCCAGAATTTCTAAGATTATGGGTAATTCTCCCCTGAGCATCCTCCAGCAGCTTTTGAACAATAAGTAAAACCAACCAAGCTACTTATACTTGTCTAAAACAATGTTCCTAACTAGCATGGGACCAGATGAATAAAAAGAAGATCAGAAAATGAAGAGGAAAAAAAAGGGGCCAACTCTTATTTTAGACAAGAAGATTAATTTTGCATATAAGTCAGAACTGATAAAACAAAATGCTAAATATCAAATGTGACATCACAGTATGGTGAAATAATAATGACCCATGTAATTAAAATAATCATGCAGGGTTTATATAATTTATGCACACATTGATCATTATAAACACTATGTAGATTCCCTGCATGTGATGTGATAGACACAAAAGTAAATCCACACTACTGACTGTTATACATGATATTCTTCATTTAGTACTTGACTTTGGAAATGCTGTCTCTTCTGAAAGGTCAACCCTATTCTTACCACAAATTAAAATTTATACATATATAATCATAATATATATGTAATATCTATATATAGTGACTATCAAGTTTAGTAGCATGGTTTTGATCCATCATGAGCATAGAACCAATGCTCTATGAAGGTTTAGGAACTCATGACATCCACATTATCAGTGCTGATTTGTCCATTGAGAACTTTAAATTTATCTAAAGGATTTAAGTCTTAATAAGAATTTTTAAAATTAAATGAGACCTGATTTTCAGTATTTTATACATGTAAGAACTCATAGGACACCCTCATTCCAATAGCAAAGATGGTTTTGGTGGTACTTTCTTATTTTCAGAATTCTTTTCACTTATGACTCTTTGTAAATTAAATCATTGGTGTATATTCAAAAGTGAGGGATCAGAAGTTACATTTGATGGGTGTTTTGTCCCTAATTGAGCTATTATTAGTTATTAGTTTTACTTTTTTATTTATTGTAATTTAGCAAAGCAATATTCCATTAGTATTTTCAAATTCTTCAACTCACATGAAAATCTTCATGACAAATATGCCTCATTTACTTAAATGTATTTGCTATAAAACAAATTTTTAAAAATTATCAAACATTAATATTTCAGATCACATATTTTAAGCTGATTTGAAGACTTCACAAAATTGAAAGAAAAAAGATTTTTATGAACTGTTTGAGTCACAAAAATTTTAGTTTCAATATAGTAATTAGTATATATTTAACTTAAACTTATTTCTTTTAAATATATAAGCTGAATTGCTAAGTGCTTATGATTTCTGAAAACTGGAAAAAAAGAGGTTTTATATTTTCTACATTAAAGGAGGTAAAGGGCAACATATTTTATTGAAATAAGGTCTAAAACTATAATATGTAAAGAATAGATAAATAAAATTACTTTATGTTATTAATGATACCTAAAGTTATAACCATTTTGGTAAAATATCTTACTTAATTGAATAATAGATAAACTTCTATTTAGGTCTGCTGTACATGGAAAAAAACTTCATCATACTTAAAAATTTTAAGCTAAACTTCTCCTTCTTTAATAGTATTACATTATATGAAATGTCTTCATATATTAGATTATGTTCAAGACTCCTGAAATTCAAATTAAAATCCATATAATCCACATAATCGAATATTTTAAGGATGATTTTTTTATGTCTTTCAACATAATTAAAGAGCACCTATAGTATTATTTTGCTCTATGCATTCCTTTTGTGACTTAATGAACTTTATACGAACCTGATTCAACCAACCAGAAGTTTAAAAAGTTGTTTCTGCTTCTAATTTGTTATGGAGAGGTAACCGAATTCTATTAACATATTCATTATCATTTTCCTCTGGTTCCTATGTTTCTTCAGTAATGTATTCTGATATCATACAAATTTAAATGCAAATCTTTTCATAGCCTCACTATCTGCCAAAAGTAGTAATGATCTAGTGCAGAATAATGAGTCAATTCTCTAAAAATGTAAAACTCAGAAGTTTTATGTGTCTGAAGGTTTTCTGTAAGTCTTGAAAGTAGAACTCTACTCAAAGAATGTAACAGTAGAAATACACAAAACACAAATGTTCACCTGGTTTCTAAAGATACACAATCCCATATTTAGCCAACAAATCAGGAGAGCTGAATGCAGAGGGGCTCAGCAACAGTTTAATTCTAAGACTTCAAACAAGGCAAAAGTGAACATGAAATAGGATAAAAAAGGGAAGTTAGCATAGAGAATAACGACACTCTATATCAGGGAAGAAAAAAAAGAGAGAAAATATTGCTGTCCAGTGGCCTCATTTGCCCAGTTCATCAGTCCTGGAATATATTCAAGACACAGGGATTCTGAATAACACACTAAGTCAGTTTCTAGGCCCATACAGGAGATCCTTCTGGATGGTGTAGAAAGCAAGTTTCACCTTGCATCAGATAACTGGAAGACCGATGTGATCCAATGACAAAAGATGACAGAAGAATACCATCATCTCAGACATATGAGAACCTCTCCACTTAGATATTTACCCAAATGCATATATATTCAATTTGTGATTACAACTCTGAAAACTTGCAAAAAAAAAAAAAAAAAACATATGAATAAGCCAGTAAAAATGAATTAGCAAACTTCTAGTGAGATTACAACTTGGGTAATAAAAACCAAGCTGTCCTCTCTCAATCAGAATTTTCAACCTGAAACGTTTTAAGCTTAGTAACTACCAAAGCACACCGCGGGGGGCGGGGGAGGGCGCGAGTGGAAATTGGGAGATGCTACATGCCCCATGGGGACTGACTGTACCTGTGTCCACATCCTTCACCTGTTGCCTGGCTTGAGCTGGCCGGCTCCACTTTGAGCTCTTGCAGGACCAGCCCTTTATCGTGTGGTCCAGGAAAGTCCATGCCTGGCACCTCCTCCTCCTCTAGAGACTCCACGTAGAAGAGAGTCCTGGCTGGCTGTTGGGTGCCCTGCCCGGGCGCCCCTTGCTGCAGCCTTGTGGCCACTGGCAGCAAGGTGCCATTCAGTGGGTTAAAGGAAGAGGAGGAAGAGGACGGGGAGGACGACGAAGAAGAGGAGGAAGAGGAAGGCTTCTTCCAGAAAGTGCTTACGCTGCCCTTCTCTTGGCTTTTGAGCAGGCGGCTCTGGCTGGGTCCCCAGTGCTCGAAGCTGCCGCTGCCGTCCTGTTGCAGGCAGCCGCCCCCCGCCGGGCCGCCGGGGGCCGGCGACGGGTGGCTGAAGAGTTTCCAGCGGAGTCGCAGGATGTGCTTCACATCGAAGTCTTTCCGCCCAGAGCCTGACATGCTTGACGCAAGAAGGCAGAGACACCTCACCGGGAGCGGTAGTAGACGGGCCAGCTGGTGGGGGAGGCCAGCAGAGCCGGGGGTCGGGAAGGAGGAGAAGAAGGAGGACTGCTCCCTCTGCACCCCTGGAGCACAGGCTGCGAGGCGGGATGCGCGCCCTGCTAGGCAACCACCAGAGCGCGGAGCGCACAGCCGCGCGGCTCAGCGGCGGTCAGGTCCGGAAGGACCCGCGCGTAGGGAGCCCACCGGCCGTGATCAGAGGCAGGAGCCGAACGCAGAGGGCAGAGATTCCTCGATCCGCGCGCGGTGCCCCGTGGTTACGGCAGGGAGGGACGACCGGGGTGATGGAGGTGCGCGAAGATAGGAGGTCTGCGCGCTCCGAGCCCGGGAGGCGGCGGCAGCTGGATACACCTCCCTGGGATGCACCCTTGACAGAACCTCTGTCGGGAAGGGTCGGCTCTCCTGTCCTTGCAGCTCAGAGTTCAGTGCCTGGAGAGCGCAGAGAGAGAAAGAGCCCCAAGTCGCGAAGAAGCGCACCCCTTAGTCTTCTCGGTGCACCTGCGCCCCTGTCCCTGGCCTCTCCGAGGATGCTCTGAGAGCTTGTCTGGTATCTTTGAGAAAGTCAGATGCCTTCTGCAAGGCGAGAAGGGGTGGTTTTATATAGTCAGTTTGTAAAAGAGAAGAACAGATATTCCAGAAAATATAGGGAGGCAGAAGGAAAAGCCCGCCCGTGAAGCTGTCAAGGTCCTCACAGTACAATTTTCTCTCTGCCTCAGCGCCTCCTCCTCCCCTGCAAGTGACGCAGATGTGCACTGGGGCCTATACGGAGAGATGCAGGGAGGGAGGGAAGGCTTCAATCTTCTTTATGCAAGTGAGTCTGCCGCTCTTATTGTCCCCTTGCTAGGTCCTGTCACCTTTTTTCATCCCCCTTCCTCACTACATTACTGTATAGTAATAAAAGTAAAGCAAACAGGCATTATGTTTTAGCATTAGTAAACACCAAACATGAATCATGGCAGCGTAAACTTAATAGGCTACCATCGGTTTGCAGGTTGCAGGTTAATGGCTTGAATTATTTAATAAACCGCATCCTTTAACCTTTAGCTTTAGTTTCCCTGTAGTGAGACACAGAAGAAACAGTGATGCTGGCGTCAAGGTGTGATAATGCCACCGTTCTGACACTTACATTGTGATTCTGCCATTAATACACTCGGGCAGCGCTTCACCCTGGGGGCCAGAGGCACACAGTAGAAATTGGAAGATGGACATCTGAGCACAGGGGACAACTTTTGCAAAATCAGTGCATTTGGTGTGTAGCCTTAGAATGAAAGCTGTTGTCGGTGTAAACCAAGCTGTGGAATAAAATGATAAAAGAGAATTTTAAGGTATAACCTTCTGGTGCATAAATCATGATACTGAATGCATAGAAGAGTTTAGGCAATGAACAAATGTATCCAAAAGCTACTACTGTCCTGCAAAAATCTCCTGTTTGAAGAAAGGAAGATGTGTTTTGCTTTATACCTATATTTAGAATGATGAGGATTATGATGCCCTTCTAGCTATGACTACTCAGGAATTTTCATCTTTTCCGTTAATGAGCCACTAAAATAGAACCCAGTCACCTTTGCTGAAAGCAAAAGGGGGTCAGAGAAGCAGCAAGGTCCCCAAGTCCACCAGGAATGTGGTTGTTGTCCATTCATGAAATTCACAGCTTCAGCAACCCCCAACAGGGCTCAGGAATCAAATATTAAAGGGCAGTTCTATTACTGTTCTGTTACCCTGTTGTTGAGCAGTAAACTTAAATAGAAACCAAAGCTAAATATGAGATCCTTCTTAGACAAAGTTGGACATTTTAATAAAACAAGAAATTAAGCACACATTTTTTTTCCCACTTTCAGGGGAAGAAAAATCACTGTTGTGCATTTTAAATATTGATTTATGCCACAACAGCTGGGCTGCAATCCCCAGTGCCTTGATTTTTCTTTCAGTATTCAGTGTTTAAAAAAAAAAAAAAAGAAAGAAAGAAAGAAGGAAGGAAAGAAAAAGAAAAAAGCCCTTTAAAGCAACAATGGTGACAGATCATTTTTATCCAAGAACTGAGTCAAGTATTTCCCTCAGGGAAGGAAACAGTGTATGAAATTACACATCACAAACAGGACAGAGAAAACTTTCTGTGAGGGGTAATGTAGGAATTTCAGATGCACATAATTAAATAATTTCTATAGAAATTGGTGCTTCACAGATTTTCTAACTTGATACAATTTTTAATTTAATTAATATAACAAAATAACAAAAATAATATACATTTGTTATATGTGCATATTCTTTTTTTTAAATATTTTATTTATTTATTTGACAGAGATCACAAGTAGGCAGAGAGGCAGGCAGAGAGAGTGGGGGAAGCAGCCTCCCTGCTGAGAAGAGAGCCTGATGCAGGCTCGATCCCAGGACCCTGAGATCGTGACCTGAGCCGAAGGCAGAGGCTTAACCCACTGAGCCACTCAAGCACCCCAGTATATATTCTTCATTAATTAATATTTGTAACCATTTAAAAACTGTAATATAAAATTCATTTTTGTTGGTATCTGAAATTCCATTTTGTATTCGCCTTTTACTCTGAAATGCTGATATTACTATAGAGCTTAAAAGTTATCTATTTAAAGGTCAGTAATTTATATGATCCAAAAGAGATCATAATATCATAATTTTGAGTTTTGTTATAAAGGAACCTGAATTAAAATATTAAAGCATATTTAACAAATGATGACTAATATAGTTAGTCAGGTAGTGATATTTAGTACTTTTTCTTAGTCTTTGGTAGTCTTATAGTACTGTAAACACTGTTGCAAGCTATTATTTAAAATACCACTTTTCTATATTTATCAATCTGTATACAATAATCACTCTTGCTGAGGAATATATTTAAACATAATTCATTTAATTTTCCAAGTAAAATATACAGGACTTAAAAAATGGAGTATGCCTGAAATAATATGAAATGACTGAAGAAAATGCTTGATTATATTCTTAAAATTTAGTATTTATTTATTATTTTTTATTATTATACTATTGGTAAGAAAGAAGGAAGGAAGGAGGAAGAAAAAAATGAAGTAACAAAGGAAGGAGAAAGGAAAGGAAAAGATAGAGGAAGAAAGAAAAACGAAGGAAGGAAGGAAGGAAAGAAAGAAGGAAAGGAAAAGAAAGGAAAGAAAGACAAAGAAAGAGAAAGAAAACAAAGAAGAAAGGGAGAGGAAGAAAAAAAAGAAAGCAGGAAGAAAAGAAGAGAGAGAATAAAGAAAAGAATCAATTTACTAAGACATCATGACTTGGCTTTACATATTAGAAAAAAATCCTTGAAAAATTATGGTTTTTGAAATACAGCACTCATTAATTTATTTATCCACTATTCAAAAATTTTTAAAAATTAACTAAACACTTACTACATACTGGGTCCAATGACAAGTATTAGCATATATGTAAGAATCAGGTTCCTTGCAACTGGCTGGAAGAGCTAACAAAAAAGATTTGTTTAGCCAGTCATAATAAATAATTGACTTGTAAGTCAATTAAATTAAGGGTTAAGATAACCAAGTTTATAAGGAAGAGGACACTGACATAATATAGATCACTTTTTAAAAGAATCTTAATAATCACATTACATTTTTTTTAAAGACAAAATCAGTTAAATTATTCTCATCCTATTTAATTAACCTGAACTGTAATTTTAGTCAATCAGGATCTTTCAAATGAGTGTTCATATTATGGCCATAATTCCCTGACACAACCTTAGCAAAAAACATCAATCAGCATACTAAAAATCTGGAGGGTGCTCAAGCATTTATAACTATACACATGTACAAAACTCTTTACATAATTATTAAATCCAACATGGATATTAAATATGCCACAGTGAAAGTTCCTCAAACTTTTAACTCAAACATTTAAACAATAAACAAAATTGGATTTAGACACAAGCATTTTCTGAGTGGAGGACTTTTCCCTTTTAGTAATTGTTTTCGAAACAGAATTAGAGGTGTGCTTATCCAGGAAAAGTAAATTCTGATTCTCTTCCTTTTGACAGCCCCTCTAGAATGTCAAATAAGTCGCCTCTACATTGTAGCACTCAACAAAAGCATTTAAATGATTAATTATGATCCAATTGAATGATAATGCCTTATGATGGTGCCTGTGTTTTTATTTTTGTTTATCTTTGTTTTATTTTAATGACATATTATGCACATTACAAGAAAATATCACTTAAAACAAGTGTATATCATTCAAAATGAGTGTACAGCATTGTGGATGTGGAAATTAAATGAAGATCTTTTTCTAATGACATTTTCTTTCCAGAAATGAATGAAACACAATAACATATACATTAATATTTAGTAATCTTACGTACAATAGCAAGGACTCCCACTGTTCCTTAAAACAAACATAACCTGTTCAAAGTCTATTAATCTTCATTACAGTCTAAGTATAGTTTGGTTAAGTAGCAATTGAGTGACTGCTTAATAAACATCCTTTGTAGGTGTTAATTGAGCCTCAGGGGCCATTTTAATCCACTCTACCTCTTTGGTTTATTTGACCTTTTGATTTGAATCAAGCAATAAATGTATATACTTGAGAAATTCTCATATGTAAATCGCTGAGTTAATTGCATGAATGTAGGAATACAAAATGGCACTAAAATAATGCATTCATATTTATGATGACTCAGGTTTTTGTTAAGTATCTTTTCATTTCCTGAAATCATATGCAGAATGTCCAAGGTGGTTTGGGAAAATTCATTATTTTGACTTTTGTACTAGGTCCTGTTTGGTTACTCACACTGCTCAGGGCAATATGATACAATTAAGGGAAACTTTATGTTTTTAATGAAAATATTTCCACAAGTATATAAATATAGATTTTTATATGAGCATATTTAATATAGATATTGATATATTTAATATATAGTTATTTTTCAAGGGTAATTTTTTATTTTATTTTATTTATTT